GTACTCCGACCACATGTTGATGAGAACATCAAGAGGAATTTCTGTCTCTGGAAAAGATCCCAAATCCAAGAAGCATTCTCTAACTTGTCCTTTAGATGTTCAACACTTATTGCCATCTCTCAAGTAATTTGCTCTCATGCACTCCGCAGATGGCTTCCCCTCTTAACAACTTTTTTCTTGCACTCTCCCAACATTGTTCAGGCTTTCCATGTAGTGAAGCTCCAATTACTTTAAGAGCCAAAGGAAGACCCTTACACTCATCAACAATCTGTCAAACACATTTCATCCAGTAGCATCAGCAAACAATGAGCTATCAAATGTTGACTTTCATAGATCAATACTTGCACGTAATAATTCACGTGTCAAGGAAATACCGCAAAGGTTTAGAGCTTACCTGTTTGACCAAACTCTCATTAGCAGCAGGAGGGATGAACTTCTGCCCAAAAGCAGAAAGACAGAACAGAGAAATGGCATAATCATCTCCCAACAACTCCACCTCATATGTGGCGTCGTTAACAATTGTTGGGAATTTGAATCGGGAAACGAAAAGGGTTTTGCACCCAGTTGTTTTAAAAATCAGTTGTTCAAGAACCAAGGGTGACCATACATCATCTAAGACTACCAGATTTCGTGATCCATTTGAGGAAGTCAACTGAACATTCCACTGAGGAACTGCATAAAGAGAACCAATGGCCTCGTTCCCAAATAGAAATCTAGAAATTTTTGCTCTCAACTGCTCCACATTTGGGGACTGCGAGACTGTCAGGAACAAAATCCTGTTCTTATAGTAGTCTGCAAAAGTAGTTAGGGGAATATATTAGAATGCTTACACCAAAGGACAGTTGAGGATATAACTCCACAAACAATATTCTTCCAGATAAACTTTTGGCGATAATACTTTAGAGGGCCTGATTCAAAGAGTTTGTTAGAATCCCTAAAAGTAAGGAATCCAAGTAAGTGACACAGTAATACCCTCCCGGTATTCCATTCTAAGTTTTCAGATTCATCAACCAAGATAAAAGGTTCTTTTACATTTTTCTCTACAATAAGCTTTTTGGGAATGCATTTGAGCCTGAAATCATACAGTTATATAAGGCCAGCCAACGGAAAATGCATGAAATAAACAACCTTCCTACTTTTCTCTCTCCCTTTCTGTATTTTCTCAGCAACCAAACATAATAAATAGAAGGCATAACTAATCGAAAATAATAACAAATTTTCATATACCCAGAACTTAAAACAGAAGAATAGAACAAAGAGCCGAAAACCACTTACTCCGAACTTCCTCATCTCTGCAAAGCTCAGTAGCGAGAGTCGTCTTGCCAGACCCACCCATCCCAGAAATTGCAACAACTCCTCCATTCTCGTGCCTTCCAATCAGCATCTCCTTCACCTTCTTCTTCCCCAATTCCAACCCCATTAAAGAATTCTCAAAAAAAGTCTCCATTGGCATCAATTCCTCCTCTCTCCTGACCGCGTGCTTCTCCCACCCTCCGCCCCATCCGTCGCCTACCATACCAATCTTCATAGCGCAGAGCCGCTGCTCCAGACCCTGCTCAATCCGTCGCGCCGTCCCCTCGAGCCGATCGAAGCGCTCGTCCGTCTCGAACCTCATGTGATGAACGTCAGCGACCATGTGCGCCTGCATGGGGCCCTGCAAGAATCTGGAGACGGTCTTCTCGAGTCTCTCCATCTTGCGGGCGAGCTGGAGGTTCTTATAGACGTTCCAGCGGGGGGATGTGAGCACCTTATTGGCCAGCTCCCGGCCCTGGTTGAGCGTCCCGGACAGGCGGTCGAGCTGCGATTGACGGAAAGCGGAGAGCTCCACACCAGAGTACTTGATCTCTTGAATAATGGGAAGCAGCTCTTCGATGTAAGTGATGAGCTGGGCGGCGCTGGACTTGCATAAGCAGGACTTGCGGGAGATGGTGAAGAGTTGCTTGAGAAGCTCCGCTGCGATCTCCCCCACGAAGAAGTCGGACACCCCCATTATTGCTGGCTTGTTTTCCAGGTGAGTACGACCTCAGAACTAGAGTTGGTTTAAAGTAACTGGCAATAGAAGAATCTTGTAAATGCCCCTCGTTATTTCTTTTGGGCACTGGGTTGGGTTGGGTTGGGTTGACTGTTAAGTCGTTGACCGCTGAAAGTAATAAAAGGGTTTTTTTTTTTTTTTTTTTTTTGGGCTTTTTAAAATGGGAATACTATAAAAATATCCAGAATTTTAACGCGTGATCTGTAATTTAAAAATCATAAGAAATATATAAAAGTATAATTTATTTTTATTCATAATTAAATTTACCCTACGAAAGATAGCTAATATAAAATTACGTTAATTTGATTGTTAATTAAAAAGTACGTCAATAATTTATTTTTTAATCCGTTATAATAATTTTATTTAAAAAATTTTACTAAAAATTTAATTTAACCTTTATAACCTTATAAGTATATTAATAAATTAAATTTACTATTTTTTAAATTAAATATTATATAATAATAAATTTTACTTTTTTATATCATTAAATATAGACAATATTATTATCTTTGTCGAACCTTTTCTTACGTCTTTTTTTTTTTTTTGTTCAAACCGCAATTTTATTTGAAAATTTATTCTCTAATTACTTCTAAAAATTTTTAGTAAAAAAATAAATTTAACCCTTTTTAAAAAATAATCAAAGACTGCTTCAAAGTAACAAATTTCATTATATTGAAGGTAAATATATATATATATATTAATGAATTTTGACTACACACTAATTATGTAGCGTAATACTTTTAAAAAATTGAATATAAAAAGATAACCATGCATAAAACATAGTTTAAAGCTAAGACGAGGAGGTGTTGATCTGAAACTTTAGTGGAAAGAGAGGAGCTGGAATAATATGGTCTGAGTTCATCTCCATTTTAGCCTGATCAACGGTGGATGTAGTCTAATTGGTGATTGCTAATAACGATAGAAGCTAAGCAAATTTAATTGATTTACTTACTCTCTTTTTCTTTATTTTCTCTCTCTCGTATTGATCAATTGTGGCAGTGGAGAAAAAATGAACATTATAATTTTTAAAGTCAACATTTCCCGGTTTTTGTAAAAAAAAAATTATTTTTAAAATAAAACTCATACATTAGATTAGTTGTGAAAATAAAAATTTTCATTAAATATTTATTTCAGCTATTTTTTAAAATATTATAATTTTAAACTATTTTTATTTGTTTATTTTTATCAATCACTACCTATTAATTATCGGAGCCCATTTACAGTACCCATTTTGTCTATATTTTCTTACATAATTTAGTACAAAACAGACATTAAATAATTTTTTTAAAAAAAAAAATATATTAAATTGTTTTAAGAACCAAAATCAAAATTAAGAAGTGATTAAATGAATTTTAAGTTAAACGTATTAGTAGTACTTAATAACCGTATTAAATCCAAAGTTTTTAACAGAGCTAGCTAATGTCCAAAAGCAAGTCTGTAAAGTAATAGGCAAGACTTTCAACCTTGAAGGTGCCTTCGGCTTTTTTGGTTGAGACAGACAGACAGCCTATTGGAAATATTGCTCTTCTACGTCCACAGAGTGGGTATACATCGCAATCCTTGGTCAATCTAATACATCTCGACAATTAAATCCTA